TTTTTTTTTTTTTGTAGTTTGTACTTCCCAAGAAGCCCTGGTAGCTCAGTGCCTTAAACACTCAGCTGCTAACCTAAGGGCTGGCAGTTCAGACCTACCCAGTGGCTCCACGGGAGGAAGTCTTGGCAATGTGCTCCCAAGACAGCCTCGGAAACCCTGTGCGGTAGATCTGCTCTGTCACGTGGGGTCAGTATCAGTCCGTTTTCCAGCTTAGCAGATGCCAGGGAGAAGAGCAGAGAGCGGGACCCTACCCAGAGAAGCAGTGATGCCTGAAATGGAGCCAGAGATGATGACGTGGAGCGATGGAGCAGCTGGAGACTTTAGATCCAGAGAGGGAGAGCGACTGTGTGCAGAAGACCTGGGGGGCACGGGGGAAGGATTGCATGGAGGGGATTGTAACCACGGCAATGAGACGATATAAGATAGAATGAATGTAAAACCAATGTTCTCCTATGTAAACTATCACATAATTCACAATAAAACATTAAAAAAAAAAAAAAAAAGTGGGCACAGGACATGAACAGACACTTCACCAAAGAATATATTCAGGCAGCCAACAAACAGATGAAGAAATGTTCACGACCATTAGCCATTGTTGTTGTTGTTAAGTGCTGTCGAGTCAGTTCTGACTCATAGCGACCCTGTATAGGGTTTCTGAGGAGCACCTGGTAAGCTTGAACCACCGATCTTGCAGTTCAAATGGCTTTGCAGTCTGGCGCATTAACCCACAGCGCCACCCCAGGATGCAAATCAAAACAACAGTGAGATATCATCTCACACCAGCAATTAACAGTGACATTAAAAAAATCAGAGGACAATAAATGGGGGAGACTGGGACCCTCCTGCATTGCTGGTGGGATTGTAAAATGGTCCAACCAGTCTGGAAAACAGTATGGCGCTGCCTCAGGAAGTTGGAAATAGAAATACCACATGATCCAGCAATTCCTTTACTTGTGGTAAATATCCACAAAAAATATGAGCCATAACACAAGTAGATATAGGCACACCAATCGTAGAGCACAGGGTAGGGGATAGACACATCACAGTTGGGTGTTGTGGGGGGCAATACACAGGAAGGGGGAGGGGGACAGAAGAACAAGAAGATAGGAAAACAGACACGCTTGCAAGGGCTAAATAGGACAGAGATAAAGAGTGATGTGTGCTCAATCTTGGAACAAAAGGACTCTGATACAGGGATTGAGGCATAGTCTGAATGGGTAAAAGAGGGGACATAATGGTAAGATGCTTGACTGTCTTATGAATATTTGTTTCCCTTGCCTACTATATTGTAAAATAGACATGAAGGGGATAGAAAAGAATATCCGGAAACATGATTATAGAAAGCTTGTAAGCCCACCTTCAGCCTATAACTGATTAGAATACCTAAAAGGGGTGCTAGAACTTACCCTGTGAAAGGAGGTTTTTTTTTTTTTTTAATGTTTTATTGTGAATTATGTGATTGTTTACATGGGAGAACATTAACTTTACATTCATCCTATTGTCTATCATTTCATTGCCATGGTTACAATCCTCTCCATGCATCATCAACCAAACAAAGGATAAACCCTGCAAGTCTTCCCACCCCCTCCCCGACCAGCTATCAACACACAGCTCCTCTTCCTCTCTGGGTCTAGAGTCCTGAGCCGCTCCATCTCTCCACGTCATCATCTCTGCCTCTGTCTCTCGTGTCACTGTTTCTCTGGGTAGGGTTTCGCACTCCCCTCTTCTCCCTTGATGGTACCCCTGACCTCTACTCCTGGACTGCAACGTCAACCACTCCCCTCCTTTTGCTACAAAACATCCACCTTTAC